AATATGGCCATTCCAATGTGATCTAAGCGACCCTTTTTCGTTGTATATGATGAAACCATGCTTAGGTTGGTGTTTTAACGTGGACGCGCACATTCCTAGAAATCTCAAATTAGACTTCAATGAAACAACCTTCAGTGCAATTTCGGGTTTCAGAACTCAGTGTTGTTCTTAAATCTGTTGGATGCATAGCTTGTACTCATAAAACACTTTTCTTGGCAGTGTGTTTTGTATGAAAAGCTACTGTGTTACTTAGTTTTATTTCATTGTGCTTCAGCTCTCAAGAAGGCCCTCGAATGTTTGTTTTGTTTTATTCGTGCAAAATAGGAAATAAATCTCCAGGATTTATTTTAAATGGTTTGTGCATAAATGCATGCAGTTCAATACTTATTTTGCACATGCATTCTTTTCTTGATCCGTTAATCTTCTGAGCCACCCTGAACCTCCCGACAGTAGGAAGATTAAAAGTAAAATAAAAGGGAAAATAGTCATTATGGAAACATTTTGTCTTTCCATATCACTTGCAGTGAGAACTATAATATGTCCCCTAGATGGGCACAGAAATATTTCATGTTTGTCAGTATGACATAGAAAGACTAAATTGAATACCTTCTTTGTCCCCCAAAGCCAGCCCTCCATGAGCAATAGGCTAGACTATTTTCTCTTTCATTTCTCCATATTTACCCCATGTTTTATACTCTACACTGTCAAACCTGCATCTCTGTGTAAAAAGAGTTAACATATCAGTAATTTCTTACAAGGAAAAACAACCTAAATGTCGTATCATCATTACTTCAAATAAGATGTATCTTCCAATTATATAATAATGGTAACATTTAAATTTTATTTCATCTTTCAAGTTCGTGAAATATTCATTAAGGGTTTCTTGAATATTGCAGCCTTTTCCTCCAAACCGACTAAATGTTTCTTTTCTAGAACCTTCGTGTATAATTTACATTGGTTTTAGTCTTGCTGCTTAGACCTGCTTACTTCATTTTCTTCAAGCCACTGCATTAACAGTCATGATGTGTAGAACTGGCCAGAGGCAGTCACGTTTCTGGGATATATAGTGGTCAGGATTGGGGCAGGTCTGGACATGTACATCTGACACCAAGGTAGCCTCCATGACTCTAGGGAGCCCACTCCCACTCCAGCCCTACCCCTAGTTTCATCTCAGGGTCATCAGAAGAACCCCAAGAAATTAATTCCTGGGGGTGCAACTTCACAGTTTTCAGAAGGAGAAAAGCCTTAGTTAGAGGTAAATAGTAGACATTTTAGTCTGTGAAAGAAAATTGAAAAATAGGCAAGTCTGCAAATACCACAAAACAAGTGCCCTCTCCAAAATAATGATCCGTCAGCGAAATTGCAAAATCGTTATGTGAATGGGCTGAATTGCTTTGCGTATCATCATAGAAAAATATGTTTTGCACAGATAAATCTGTCTAATAAGGACACATTTTTTAAAAGGCACTGTCCACTCTCCCCTTCCCGCTCCTCCGCCCCCCCCAAGCAAATAGCTGCACTGCTGTTCTGTCTCGCAGTCATCTAGCACCACCTTCTGGAGGATTTGAGAACAGTGCCGCTTTCCTTGTTTAGCTTCTGGAAAATAGAGTGAATTGATTTAAAATCATGATCATGACAATGTCAGCCATGGCAAGATTAACAACAATAATAACACGTCCCCTCTCGCTTGTTTTTCAGGCATCCGATGCCAATTCTGAAAAACTCTTCAATACTGCTGTAAACACAGGTAAACTTCTTTCATTCTCCGGAGCAGTGGCTTTTTCTATGCTTGTTTTCATTGTTGTTGCCAAGGATGGGAGATTAGACCAAGGTAATGTGTGTCTTTTTGCATTCTAGTGCTCCTAATCCCATGTTGTGCCTTTGCTTGAGACAGAAGCGGTATACTTTCGTGTGTGGCATTAAAAACCAGTTGGCTTTTAAAAAGGAATTCATTGAATCCTTATTTAAATTAATTCGATGAAGGAAGCTGTAATGGAGAGTAAGAGTTTACCAAATGCTTTCACATACTGTTACTTACCAACCATCCCCCAGCAGTGGGAGAGTTATAAATAGCTAGTCTGTACTACAGACTATAATAACCCCTGAATGCTTGGGATTCACAGCATTATGGTCATAAAGCAAGCTGTCTCTCTGCCGTGTGCTTCCGGTAAAGTTAATAAAACGTGCAGAATGGCAAAATTTAAATATGCACTATCCCATTAATTTCTTCCACTCAACAATCCAGAGTAGGAGAGACTAATGACAGAGCAGGACTTTATTCAGAGAAAATTTACCTGAAATCCTTCTTGATAGGTTTCTGGGTAGTTTTCATTTGTGACAGTCTCGTGAACAGTAATGAAATTTAGGGGGGAGTCTTGAATCGCAGATTTTGCAAAGATGTGGAATGTGAAAGGTCTCAGTTTTATGAACTATTTAGATCTTTCCCTTTCCTCTGGTAGAGTCTGATGTAGGGGTTGATAAGTTAATTGCTAAATACAGAAGGTGTGCTTTCCAGCAAGCTGGCTCTTTGTTACACTGAAGATGCTTCATAGCACTTGTACCGAGGAAGAGGAGGAGGTAGGCCTTCACGAAGTGAAATTTGAAACTCTGTTGTAGCCTTGTCTAGCGTTATCTTATTTATTTATTGCTAGCTGATGAGCAGAACCCGGGTGTTCGGAGCTTCCAGGTTACTTTTGAATTTTGAACCAACTGCCATTGAAAATAATACATTGCGTTTAGCGCTCCCTCGAAGTGTATATATGCTGATGTTCCTGGAATCACCATCATGTCAGATTGTATCTTTTTTTTATTGCATAACGGAATATACTCTAGTTTTATATTTCATCATATCTTTTGATGGACTGACTTTTGTTGGTATAAATTTGATACCTATAATGCTGAGTGCCCAATAAAGAAGACATGGGCATGGGTGGGCTCCTAGGTACAAATGAATGCTCCTGGTTGGTTCCTTTGTATCAGGAGAGGTTTGGTAGACAGCCGCCAGCCAAGTGAGAAGGGAGGTGGTGGGAGGGGGAGACTGGTAGTTCTTCACTGAGAGGAGAGGACCTCCACCCACTCTAGGATTTCTAGCCTCTTTGCTTTTGCTAATTCGCCATCTTCAAAAGCTGTGTAATGCATTTCCCATTTCCAGGACTGGTCCCTCCAGTGAGCTTTGGCTTGTAGACCTGCATCCTTGCAATGTCGCCCTCTCTGAACTGAAAGGCCAAGCATAATGTGATAGGTGACCCGCTCTCCCTCACTTCTGCCCCACCCCCTGCCCCTTCGCCAGTCACACATTTATCACATACTTATTTCTGTTTACTTACCAAGCATCTCTGTGATGGTGAATTCTCCTGACAGGGCGCCTTTCTTGGGAGCTGCTTTTTGGCTGAGCGGTTGGGGTGGGGGCTCCTTTAGTTTCCTTGAAAGGATTAGGTTCCTTTGTGTACACTAAAATCAACATGGGCTTTTTATAAGCTTGCTGGGGAAACCATACACAAATATGCGTTTAAGTCGATAGCAGATTATTTCTTTGCTCCTTATTTCCATCCAAATGGCCTGCCTTTTCTCCTCCCCTTAATGCCTTATGCTAATTCTTGCTGGTAGCATGAATGGCAAGAGCCAGAATCACTGCAAATCAGGTGCTACAAAGTACTGCACCCCAGTGCGCGCACATGTGTGTGCGCGCGCACACACACACCCCTTTCCTCCCCTGAGAGAAAGAGATTAAGGGAGTGGGGAGATTGGGCTGGGGGAAGCTTTGGGGAGAGTTTTGTTAAGGGGATTAGTATTCAAAGTGCTAGATATCAGGAAAACAACTTGAAAAAGGGTTGCATTGTAGGACGCAAACGTGAATAATCGTTTCCAGACAGGTGCAGAGGGTCTGATTTTGTGCTTGTAGTTTGGGGGTCTGAGGGGTTGACAAGGGCCTTCAAGGAACTGTCAGCTTTGCGCACATCAAGTTTGACTTCTGCCTGACCCAGGTCTTCAGCCTTCATCCAGGCTTCTTAGCCAAGAGCAGTATAAAGCGCAATCAGAAAGGGCGCGTTGACACCAGGTAACAAACACAACTGGGGAAGTCTGCAAAGCCACGGCGTGTGGACCAGTCTTAACAAGAGTTCCGGGGGAAGCTGGCATGTGGCGTCCCTCCACCTCCAGATGTTTAAAGCCATATATTGTCCCTCCACCGCCAGATGTTTAAAGCCATATATCACCCCTGCCTCTCAGGAGACTAAGAGCACTCTGCCATCAGAGAAGTGTGGCTTGAAGCTGCTGTTACTACGCTGCTGAGCCTGGTAGCGGGTAGATTTGGTCCATGAAATTTCACCATGGGAGGGCAGTTCTCATCTCGCAATGATTGTGGTAGGCGCGGTGGGCCAGCAAGCAGCTTTGCTGTCTGTCTGTGCAGGCTGGAGGATGGAGCTTCAGGCTGGAGAAGTGGGGACCGTCACTCAAGCAACTCTTGTCTGTCCTGGGAGCTTTGAATGTGTCATTTCCCCTCATTAGATCAGGTTTTTCATTGTTAGCAGCATCTTCTAGCCCCCGGGCCAGCATCTCTGGTGGGTGTGCAATAATTAATTGTCAAGGAGGTGGGTTGAAACAGAGTGGGTGCGAGGAATATTTTTTATGTCACAATTGCCCATTGATTTTACTTTGATTTTCCCAGTCTTGAGCAGTGTGATCTGTTTCATAGCGATCTCAGAAGATGTTGGCATTTCAGCACTTGTGGTCAGCTCTTCCTTCCGATGCCTTAGACTTTCTCTTTTTTAACCGCGTGACACAGCACGTGCTTGTCTGGTCCTCACGGAGTGCCCAATAAGAAGTCAGCATCTTGAAAGACGGGGGAAGCAGAGCCGCCAACTGGCAAGGCTCAGGGTTGTAAACATGAAAGGAAGTCTAACTTGAATCAGGGTCATGGCTGTCGTATTTCATCTTTATGTGTTTAAATGTTTACAGGATGTTCATGTGTGAATTTTATGAATCCTTCTGTCTTTATGACTCAGCCATCTGCCAAAGCAAAAAATTCATTTCCCCAGTGACACTGGCTGGTGATAGTAACTATTGGCTCTATGTAGTTGGTTGAAGGCCCTGTAGGAGCAAATGGATTTGTGCCCCAAATTCTGGAATTGTTGTCTGTGAAAAGAACTTACTATCCAGCTATCCCAGGATGGCTAGTATGTATGTATTGTCCTTTTCTACCTGTGTGAGGTCCTACTTCTTAATGGTTCTCCCATTTTGATATTTGGACAGGAATGTAGAAAATGAGCTTCTCTTGGCTGTACACGATCATCCTGCCAAGAAGTTCATCTCTTGCAAAAACTGAAGTTGCCTGGGAGGATGGGTGCTGAAGCCATGTTCCCAGGATACTTGCAGTTGTTACCTGCTGTGAAGTCAGATAGCATCAAAGCAGCCCCATGCTCAGTGGGAGGGGACTGTTTTGATCCTAGGTTTTCATTGGCTGATTATTTGGAGCTAAAGCAGTAGACCTCCAATTGAGCCTCTTCTTGCACACAGTCCTCTTCCAGGGCCGATCTGTAACCCTGGGGGTGTAATGAGTTAAATGTTGGGTTTATGACTGCAAGATTGGTGGTTCAAACCCACCAGTCACTCTGCTGGAAAAAGAAGAGGCTGGCTGCTAACAGAAAGATTTAGTCTCGGGCTCCCTGTAGAACACTTCTGCTTTGTCTTATGAGTCAGATTAGACTTTGATGGCAGTGGGTTTGGCTTGAGTTCATATTCTGCAACGAAGACAGATGACAGAGGGTGAGAGGTGACCCAGCGGAGTCTTTCACCTGCCTCTCCCTCCTTCCTTCACCTTTGCCTGCCATTGCAGAGTTGGACCGTTGAAGGGGAAAGGACCCTCTGGATTAGCTGAGCATGAGCCTGGTCGCTCAGAGCATCTCTGAAGTGCTGGGGTGGGGGTGGGTGAGACCCCAGACTAAAGATTCTCTCCAGATGGATCTGGGCTCCTGGTGTCTACTGACATGAATATTACAGCTTCTCCCACCATCCTGGCCTGATGAGCCATGGAAATTCTGGTGGATTCTCTATCCGGCACCCTACGGACCATTCTTAGAAACCCTACGAGGAGTTTTCGTGGGGTTGAGATTGTACTAAGGATGTCCGGGGTGGGAGTAGGGGAGCCT